TTCGGACAGCCCACCCGTTTGAACTAATAAAGTGCCAGGGGCCTAAGTGGTCATCTAAATATTAAAAAAAAAAAAAAGATCTTCAATATTACTTTCGACCAAAAAAACGTAATCATCGTGATACCTATATTTATTCGCTCTGGTAAGTGTTTTTGCCAATAATCTGTGATAATTTTAGAACTGACCTTTTATATAAACATTTCTAACAATTTGTTTCGAATAGAAATAAGATTTAAATGTGGGGCGGCTTTAGCAACTTCTTGTTTCACAACAGCCTAAATTCCTTCAATCGGTTGAAGCTCATAATGGTATAAGTAGTGTAAACAAATTGTACCTGCTCATATTTGTTAGCAATGACATTCTTCTTCATGCTTCTTTCGCAAAACAAGTGCAAAAAAAGGAGTGCTAGCAGTGTTTACAGATATAACTATATTACATATAACTTCTGCAACATTTGGATTGGCTTCTTTTTTGGGGCAGCCAGGTGGTTTACATTCTGCTAATTCTCTATTCTTACTATTGTTCCATTCAGCAATTACTCATACAACTGAGGCCCTAACACTGTGGCTACAGGCTTGCGTAGTGGTATGTCTTCTCGTTGATTCTGGTCTTGTTGACAATCTAAAAAGTATCGGTGAGTACTAATAATCATCCTACATTCATTAAGACTTAGTGCATATTTGTCTCGTTTCAAGTATCCATTTTGATAAAAAAAAAGAAAAAAAAACAACCTTAAATAAAGTTCATCGATTATTCTATCTTTTTTGCAATTTTTATCTTCATATAGTGTGATCGTCCAACTTTCCATCAGAACATCATTTTAAGTAATGATTTTTGTGTATCTATATTTTTGCACCGGCCCATATTATATAATAATACTAACCAGTATATATATAATTTATATTTTATAGGCTCATATAAGACTAGCCAAAGGAATATAAAACCTGAGCTTATTCTTACAAATAATTCTTTGGATAAAGTTGTATCAAATGCTAAAAATAATATCAGATTATCTAATTCTCTTACAATATTAAAAGGAAGAGTATCAGATAGTAGTATAGATATTTTAGATAAATTTAAAACACAAGATCTTCTTCAATTTTATAATTTAAGAAATATTATTAATTAGGGAGAAGCTTTTGGCTTCAAATCATTTCCTGATATATTTTTTAGTCCAAAATCTGAAAATGCCATATTACCAACCAATATTTATAACCTTTTAGTTGAATTCTATAATAATGCAGAAATAGGTTTTCAATTTACTATTTTAGAAAATATTTTAAGAATTGATTATATAGCTGTATTTCCCTGAGTAATTCAATATGGGCAATTAAAGTTGGGATTAGAAATTTTTGGATCTACATTCTCAGCTTGCTATATCAAATTCTTAAGAATTCTAGCAAGATTTGTTGCTTCAGAAGATGAATCAATAAATTCATATTCTGGTCAATTTCAATTCTATTTTGACCACACTATCTATCTTTCTTCCAGTGAACAAACATATCATCTTGCATTTGTAAAGTAGTATAAACCTGTTGATGATTATAAAACAAGGTTTCATATAAAAATTAAAGAGAATGATTCTAGTTGTAATATAGAGCTGTGGAATCAAGAATTTTATAAATTGGGCAGGAATTGCATAATTCCAATACATCAAATTTATTCCTGGTTTATAGCAGGTACATATACCGATACTGATAAAAATGATTCAAAAACATATATAGCTATAATTTCTTTAAATAAAAAGTATAATTTATAAATGCCGATATTTAAAGTAGTGTTTTTATTTACATATACAGAATATTAATATCAGTTTTATTTTTATTTTTTACTAAATATTACTTATATATATCTTAAATATTTTATTTATATTAATTATCATAATTATTAGCATATTAAATAAAATTATTTTTATTTTATAACTAGACTAGTAACCTGTTGCTTCAACAATATTCAATAATTAATCTTTAACAGTTCATTTAGCTGGCATTACAAAGTAAAATATACAATTTAAAAATATTTAATATAAGTTCAACATATTAATATCAGGAATTTTTAAAAATTTCCTGATATTAATAAATAAAAACAGCATGACAGACAAAAAATATATAATTTCTCAATAAAATATATAATCTAAATTATTGAAATCAAAAATTTTTTAAAAATTTTTAAAATTAATGAATAAAAATAGCATAATAGATAAAAAATATATAATTTCTCAATAAAATATATAATATAAGATCTAAATTATTAATATTAGGAATTTTTTAAAAATTTTTAATATTAATGAATAAAAATAGTGTGACAGACAAAAAATATGTAATTTCTAACTCTGATATAAGATCTAAATTATTAATATCAGAAATTTTTTAAAAAAATTCCTGATATTAAATGCAAAAAAATAGCATAACTGACAAAAAATACGTAATTTCTCAATAAAATATAGACAAACACTAATATAAGATCTAAATTATTAGATAAATTTAATGATAAATTTAATGATAAAATTAATGATAAAAATTAATCATAAAATTAATTATTAATATTGAGAATTTTTTGGATGTTCTATAGAATAGGTGGGCAGACTCTGCAAACTCCGCAACTCTGCTAAATATTTATTAATAATTACTAATTAGTAGCAGAGTTTATTTTTTATATTGCCCACCTATTCTATAGAACATCCAATTTTTTTAATAAAGAAAAATATACATCAACAAAATTTTTATATAAGAAGACATTAATTATTCATATAACAGTAAAAGTTCTGATAATTGTATCGGATCAATGACAATATATATATTTGCAAAGATATACATAATTTTTTTAACAATACAAATATTTATTATAAATAAATTGTAATTTTTTTTTTTTTTTTTTTTTTAAGCAGTCTTGTCTTTATTTATTTGAACCACTATTTAACTATTATACATGTAT